AGGAATGTGTCTAATTTTTAAACTGAAATTTTCGTCAGTCCCATATTGAACACTAAGTCCAGAAGCTTGTACTTTCCAGTAAATGCTCTGAGCCAAATGAAATAAACATCACTTGATTTGGACACCTTGAAATTCCCTACGAGCAGCATTGATGGCTGCTTGTTCGAAATCAGTTAAAATAAATTGTGGCCGAAGAAGAACACCATTTTCATCACCAAAACCAACCAATCCCTGAAACAAATTCCTATAACGTTCTTCCGATTTTCTGAACATTAATGCATAGATAAGTGGCATTATTTGTGAATTTTCATCTCTACCAACACGTCCATGAATTGAATATAACTGTCTAAATATATTTGAAACTGTTTTAAATGTTCCATCCATAATCCAGAAAGGGGATTGTTCCAGATATTGGACGTTAGCGATGGTTGTAAAGAGCAATATTCTATCTTGATCCAGGACAATATCTTTAACCAAAAAGTCTGATCCATTTAGAGTCTTTGTTAAATCTTCAGGAACAATAAGTTCATTTAAAGATTCTGGTTCTACAGGAAGATCAGAGCTCCTAATTCGATTAACTGTTTGACAAAGTGCATCACAAGATGGAAGGTATGGATGCGCTTCGTAAGAGATACTAGCAGTTGTGGTTTGAATAATTTGTGCAGGTGGTTCATTGGTCTCTTTTCCTCTCTCTTTTAAAGTATTAACAGTTCTTATAACATTGACTTGGCTTGCCTCCGCAGCATGATTATGATCTGTAACTTTTTGGAGATGATGTTGTCCTTCAACCAACGTGGTAACTGCTCGGCCTTTACATTGTAATGCATCACATTTTTCACAACGCCAGTAATAAGAATTGTCACAATTTTTATTTTTACACATAACAAAACCATGAATATTAATTTTGTCTTGATCACGATTAGAAGAAACAATTTCATAAACAGTATTATTCATTTTTAAAAAAGGTAGTAAATATATGTGATATAATTATGATAAAGTTATTATGGTAGTTATTATCAAATTAAGAGAATTTTATTCTGATGTCTTTGCGACTTATAGTTATATTTATAATGAAAAAATTGTTATGTAGGCAACAAGCAAACCATACTCTTTCTGGGTATCAAGTGATTGGTAACAATAATTAATTGTCGATTTAAAATTTTTAAAACCCATTTTTGTACAAAGTAGGTTTTCGCCAAATACAAATTAAAAAAGAAACACATTTCTAATTGTTTAATAAATCAGGTATATTTTATATATACTCTTTCGAGTTAGCAAGTGATCGGTAACAACCAATTTGATTTTTAAAATTAAATACTAACCAAAATTATCAAATCTAAAAAAATAAACATTATTTATTGTTTTTTTTAAAAAACAAGTTTATAGAGCATGCATAGTTATGATGCTAGCCAAAAATTGTCAAAAATTAAAAGGTATTTATTTTAACATGATATTATTATTAAAGTATACTTTTGTAATTAAAGCACAAAATTCGTCTGATAGCTTGATTGTAAGGTTTCGGGTCTAATATACTACCTCTATATAAAAAACGTTGAAAAACCCAAATCGACAAAATAATTTGAGCTTTGAGAAACAGTTTGGGCTAGAAACCTTACTTGATTGTCAGACCCATTTAATCATACGATTTTAATAA